CGTAAAGGTATAGCGCGGCAAGTAAAACCTATATGAATTTTGAGTAATTGTCAGGTCTCTGAAACTGTGACAGCCTTGAAGAACGCTGGCACTACAGTTGGAATGCTCTGGCTTGACATCGAGACATACGCATGGCCAAGCGATCACACGAAGAACCGCGCTTTCATCGAGGAAATGGGAAAAGAATTGACAGTAAGAGTAGCTGTTATTATTGAAATTTTTGCTTCGAATAGTGCCCTTCTCCTCTCTTCGTTTGTATTATTTTCAAGCCTGCTTATCAAAGAAATATGACTAGTTAAGAAAATCAGCGATATATTCTTTCAGAGCCTTGGACAGAGCTGGGGAGTTTACAGCAACTACAACAATTGGCAATCAATTGTTGGTCTTGACTACACCGGCATGAAGAGCAAACAGCTGTGGTGGGCTACCTACAACAATGAAGCGGTAAGCGTAACACACCATGATCTCAGTTTTTGTGTACCCACGGTTGGTATTACCGCAGTTCATCAGATCGCAGTAAGGGGAGGGATGGATTGACTACATGCGGCGCTTCCACACTGGTCATTTTCTTTCTCAGCCGATCATTTAGCGATCACCATTGGTGGACCAAGGCAGCCAGACGTCGCATAATCCCGCCCTCCTCACACCGTCCGCGACTGATTGCCATGCTGCAAACTACATACATAGCCTTAGCTCTGATAAGCCTTCAGTTCCCTGGTCCAACTTCCGTTCAACTTAACACAGTGAATATCGTGGTATATGGCCTCCATTTATAGCCTTAACAAGATTGGATAACTTACCAGGCCTGCGTTTCGGTGTCTCAGGCCTTTCAGGCACAGGTAAGTGTGGGGATTCCGACATGTGGGCCTATCAAACAATTGAATCTGGAAAAATTGTTCGGGAAGAGTTTGGGAGGAGTTCCTAAGTCCGTATAACAAGCAGCTTATTGTTAGTACGCAAACTGCGATAGCACTGAAATGTTCTCTCCGCGAACTGATTCAATATAATTTCAGAACTTCAACAACTTCAAGGCATTCGGTGGATGGACTAAGCCGAACATTCATCAATACAACGGTGACGTCACTGGACCATGCTCATTCTCCATCGATACCAACTGGTATCCTTGAAAGTCACGAGCTAGCGCATAGAACTGATTTAATGTTCAATAATGAAGCTTTAATAAATGATCGATTCAACCAGTGGTTTTTTTTCTAATATTACCTAGGTATGGCTCGAAAGAGTCTGAATCGGGAGCACGCTATATTTCCCCTCGGGGTAGATCTCCCAATGGACCTCAACTCCCTGCCGTTTTCAGTCCTTCTCTCTGGCTCTTGCAATACAACCATACCGATCTGCCGCGCGCTCTGAACGAATATAGTGGAAGGCAGAGTATGGGTAATGTCGTCCCATCACCCCCAGTACATGTCGTTCGGGGGAGATACCGGGAAACCTAGACGGTGAGGTCCTGAGGTTACCTGGAGGTACTCTGGCCTAGACGGGCAGCCAGCGTGTTCCGAATCAGACCAGCACCATGAAGTTTTGATTTACGCGGAATAAAAGAGACTAAAAATACTGGAATTACGCGACCCCATACATACATCTTTAAACTGTGAGGCGACCACCAGTAAGCAAAGAGTTGGGGTATGTACTGATTTTATGAGCTGGTCAACGCTCAGCTCTAAATTTCCGTCTGTATCCTTTTGTAATCGCTCCCAAGTTTGTGACTAATTGGATCGACAAGTATCTGTCGGGAGCGCTGAGCCTGAGTATTTTTAGAGATTATTTCAAAGATAGACTTCGCGATTGTATCGCTGCCGTCTGTTGGAAGTAGCCTTCATTATCAAACTTCTATTCGCTAAAAGAAACTTCCAGTGAAGAAAAAGAAAGCAGCAAAAAAATTCGTTTAGATCGACGTAAAGCCCTGGCACGCGCGCTCCGGCCGAGTTTCAGAGCTCCTTTTTTTCAGCAAAAGCAATTACGCACATTAGTCTTCCTTGGCATCATCCAATCCTTACAACGGCTATCAATGAAAAAAGAAACGCATATATACATATGCGAAAGAAGTCCGCAGTCACGCCCATCACACCTCAGCGATATCAACCTCACCATTCGTAGGAATACACTTGAAGTTCATAACCCAAAACTCTCTCAAACTTCCACTACTAGCACGACTATCGATCAATTCGACTACCTCAGTGGTGTAAACACTACCTCGTGACAGAAAATAGCCTTCGATTTACAGTGGGAGGGACAACAAGGGAGGCGCCACAGCTACTTGTGAAGACCGCAGCGCCCTAGTTACTACAGTGAAGTCGTGTAAGAGGGATAATCTCAGACGAGGTCGTGGAGCTAGCAATTACAATTAAGGTCGGCCTTGTGAGTGCTGCGAGCGCAGAAGAAATCGTCTAAGAACTCGAAGCGGGCTCTCAAGACTGGCGCATACCTCTCGCGGTTTGCGATGGGCGGAGAGAAGCCAAGCGTAGCGCTTAGGTGATAGTGAATGCGTTCCTTTGACGGCGAGTGGCACAATGTAGAGGCACTAATTAGAGCGGCCCTGTGCGGCGACTCCATGGCCATGTGAAAGATGCCCAAAATAGACAATTAATGTTGGACTGTGTAGTATAGAAATTTACCCTTCATATCGCGGAGATGGAGAGGGTGTGGTTTAACGTGGCGATAACAGCAGTGCAGTTTCGGCAACGCACTGAGGTTATGGACTAATTAATTGCTAGCCTACGTTTGTCGCAGCCAAAAAACAGAACGACGCTTGCCACAAATGTGGAAACAGTGCCATATGCCGAAAGAAGTCCGCAGTCACGCCCATCACACCTCAGCGATATCAACCTCACCATTCGTAGGAATACACTTGAAGTTCATAACCCAAAACTCTCTCAAACTTCCACTACTAGCACGACTATCGATCGATTGCACGACTACCTCAGTGTTTCGTCAAATAATCATGCAAAAGACACGTTTCTATGTGGAAAATGAATCACGTACTTCCTTTTTGAGGAGTGTACTCTTGGCTTCACTGAGTTAAATTTTGTCTTACGCAATATATTTATAAATGATTAACTCTTCACTCATCGCCATTTCAAACAATACAAATAACAGTACATAACGGAGCAATGGCGTCCCGTCCCTTATTGGTACCTTTTTGGGACCACTAACCTTAATAATAAGCGATAGCGATATAATGCGACAAAATCAGATCGTAGTTCAAACATTGAATTTGGCTTTGGTTGCGTCATTGCAGCAAAAAAATTACAATAGGAATAGGAAAGCACTTCGTATCAACGATCACAATGGACCAATAATATTAACAAATCAAGCAGGCAAGCGGGCAATATGGTACCATATAGTTCGGGTTCACATCGCATTCACCAGTTGCTGCCCAGAAATTACACAATTTGTGATTGATTTCGCATCCTGAAACTCGTTAATTTCAAAATTATCGATAATTTCAAAAACATTAATTCTCTCGCTAATTTTCAGGAATTCATTCAGAATCGTAAATTTCAGTTCGGGAAAAAGAGTTCGCGGTTTTATAAACGTTATTAATATGTTTATTGAAAGTGACTTGAATGATGAATTATATTTGATGTTAATGAAAATTCACGAACAAGTTTGGACCAGAGCAGCGGATTGCTGTAACAACGCTGCACTTGCAACGTTCGCTGCACTGCAGCCTTTAAGACGAGTTTCTCTTCTGGTTGAATACTTTTGTACCAATCAAGTTGGGAAGATAAAGATGTAAGAAGGAACACTGTCTGGAAACCATGGAAGACGGGCAAGAGAACCATCAACTGCCGCTTCGTCGCGCGCGGCAATGGGCGCGACGTTTCCTTAATTTGCACTACCCTTTCGATTGGAGCATCGGATTTCATGTAGACAAGGACATGGTAGACACTTATGTCTATTTTTGGTCATACATTGTCTATTCTCGACCAATACCACCTGAAATCGTCGTCATTAGCGGGCGCGACGTCGCACGCGACGCCCACTGGCGCGGCGAATTACGATTCTCTTGCCACATACCCGGGAACCATGTACAGAAAGAGTGAACATTCAGTTGCTATCAGGGCGCTAGGCAAAAAGGAAAGCAGGCCAAAAGCCGTAGGCGTTCGTACAGCTGTAGGCGTTCGTACAGCTGTGCGTTTATACAACCTAAAAAGGCTGTTGCATGGCGCGCCGTGCCGTTACGGAAAAATTTGCAAAATAGGATTCCTACC